TGAAGGGGCCTTTTGTCATCATGGTCGACTTCTCAGGGAGAAAGGCAAAAACCAAGAACGCGACCTGCGACTACAAAACCTACGAAACCGAGCGGGTTTCATATTCTACTGAGCGAACTTGTTGGATGGAGCGTCAAAAAAAATGTTGAATAGGGGATTTAAAGGATTTCAGATGAAGACTGACCTTGAAGGACGGCCTCCAGCCTGGGGCTTTGGTTATGGTGGCATGGAAGACGGAGAAATTGATGAGTGCATAAGCAGCCAGGAAGAAGTTCACCACCAGTGTCGCAACCGCATTCAAGTTTGCTGCAAATTCGAACGTCGACATGATTAACTTTAGTAGAAACAGGATTTCTGCATCAAGGTATTTTCATCTGCAGTGCAATATCGCCAATATGAGAAACTGCTGACTTTTGTCTCATGAGGATACAGAACAATCAAATATGCTGTATGCTGCCAGGGATAGCTGAACAAAACTAAAGAGGCCAAAAATGAAGACAGACTGAAACTTCTTGCAGTAACCGAGGGAATTTTTCGTATATATGCATATGCAGCCTTTGAAAGGATTACAGAAGCAGCATGCATCTCGGCCAGGGTCATAACGGCAGGGAAAAGGAAAACGCGAATCGCCACCCAGGTACTCGATCCGTGACCGCCTTGAATGCGTCCGGTTGTCTTTTCGACGTTTGGAGACAATGCTGGAACGGAGTCTGTGCAATTTTCTAATTGCGATGAATGCTTTCGGACCCGAAAATGGGGCTGTGATTGTCACTTGTCTACGCGGTGAGTCCCGGGAAACGAAAATTACATCGAATTCGGTTCCATGATTAGGCGAAAAATGCCACAATCATGAAACATATATGCCGTTCGCAAACGTCCACTTTAGCGAAATCTCCAGGGGAATTCCCGCCGCTTTTCGAGCGTTTCATCGGCATCGATTAATTGGGATGCCCAGCATTATCCCGACGCACCAATTAGTGAATGAATTTGATGTACCAACCAATTAGCCAAGATCGATCAAACGTTCGAAAACGTAGACGACATATCCGAATACTGTCACGTTGGTTGAAATGACCTTAGACGATTTTCTAACCCTGCTTTAAAAATTTAACCTTGTCATCCAATTTTTTTTGCTCAATGATGCATATTTTGAACAATTCATAAAAAGGGCTCAACATCCTCACTACCAATAAAAAAAAAATACAGTGGAAAGCCGTTTTTCTTTAGGGACGGGGCAAATCGTTTCGAGTTATCCGAAGTTTGACTCATCAGGAATACCGTTTAAAAAAAAAAAGCTCAGGTTGAGAGTTACAAGAAAGCGGGCGATTTTTCCGTCCTCGAGAATCCGATCTGAAGGAACGTTCACTTTCTCGTCGTAATCGGCTCTTATTAATCTCAGGGGAAACATTGATACTCCGTGTGCAAATTTCATTGCTCCGTTATTCATTACTGGTACTCTTTGAGTCTTCGGTTTCCTTTTGAGTGGGCTCGTCCGAATTCCAAGGCGTAAAATAAATATAATATAGGTTTTCTAGGTCAAAAGTGAAAGTAGGAAGTGAAATGCCGCCGATTCACGGGGTATGCCATACCCATGTCTTGGGGGAATTGCCTTCTCGTTGCATTTTCACAACGTGCAGTTTCAGGTGCATTTATCAATACATATGTTTTTCCTTTTGCAATTCATCTTGTTACCGATATTACCGATATGTCAGGGTCCTGACATTCACCCACATCTGGCAAAGTCGGCATTCCTTGCATCATTCATTGCAGTCCTTCATGATCTGAATGATTTCTGAATATGAATGCATCTAGTTAAAATTGGTTTTCGTCATCTAAAATCCAGTGGAAAAATAACTGACCTATGAGTATGCAAGCGACGCCAATGATGAAGCTGGCCACATAACCTCGGACGGGGTCGTTATTGGCTCCGTAGCCGACCGCAAAGAAGCCGATGCCGGGATACAACTTGTCCTTGGCCAAAGCCTGAAAAGGGAGACATATTCAAACGAAGGAAGACCCTGTCAAAAATGTATAGTTGGGCCAACTAAGGCTCGAGGGTGGCTCTTCCATACACCATCTATGGGGCATCAGCAGGTTATCGTTGTCTTATTGGGGGAATTATGGTTGGTCATGTCTGGGTCGGCCGACCTTCGGGCCAAGGATATGGAACGCAACTGTGCCACCCATAAGTCAACTTTTTAAGAATGCATCCACCCTCAACCCGCCTTAATGCCACAGTATTAATTGCCATATTCTAATTAGCCCCCACTCTCCTTCTCCACTTTGACTTCCTACTTTACGCCATACGTTCCACTCGTGGAAAATTTACATATGACCTAACCCTGTCATCGAGGAGGAGAAAGTTCACTGTTCCAAGTAGAACTAAATAGTTATTAAGACTAAGGTCAATCCGCATCTGAACATTAGGATCGCCATGTTTCTGATTAATAAGAGCACAGATCGACTGTTACGCCCTTAAACGCGCGCTTCCCGAACGTAACCGCGGGGATCGGCTCGCCAATGAGCTGGATGCAAGAGTTTGTCATGAGCAGGAGCCCTTCCAGATGCCAAACTAGAATAGGTAAATCACTTTCCCATCTGATTACTTTGGGTTATAAATGGCCTCTATGTATTATTTACTCTGTGATATAAGCTTAGATTTTAATTCCTTGCACTTCTAGTATCTGAAAACACCCGGGCTCTCTAGAGACATCTAGCGGCTGACACGATAAGCACGAGTCAAGGGTCGTTCCGGGGGTCAATCAACCCTAGCGGGACTGCATGCTCGTCTCTTCTCTTCCTTATGTTCTCTTACCGTGACGATTTAATCTGTTCTTCAGTTATTGAATACGATTTGAGTTTCTTCATTCTTCCAGGATACATCGCTTTTGCAGAGTAGTAATTAGTCGTGAGAAGAATGCTTATAATTTACCCCATCGGCATAAGGTAGATATAAGATATCCTGTCTATAGTGTTTTCTACTCGAGTCAGTCATTATTGAGCGACATGAAGTGTCGAAGTCAAGTGAAAAACATTGTGCATGACATCAACGGCTGGTGCATGGTCACGTCAGTAGGTCGCTGTTGCTGGGTACCCTTTATAGGAAGATACCCCATGGGTGGCTCATGGATGGGGAAACGATGTGCGGCAAACCCGACTATTGCCCGACCATCCACCAACTTCCCTATCTATGGCCCAACCTTAAGCCGAACCATACTTTTTGACTAGGGATGGCAGCACGGAAAACGTCATTGCAGCGAAAGGCGCCAAGGAAAAAAGTTGCAGCGAGGAGAACTCGGCGGAGACCCCAGAGGCGACACGAGATTCACGCGCTCGCTCCGCCGCTCCATCTCGGACTGAGGCCTGGCGGCGTCGCGCGGCCCTTTAAAAGTTGCGCCGAGGTGCCGATGGAGGCCTACGATCGCGTCGCCCTTCATTCCCCCGGGAAATTCTCGCGCGGGCTTTTCGAGGGATTTCTGTTAATTTCATTCTAATTCGTTGATTCTGCTATTTAAATCGTGACCCAGTTCGTGTTGCCCACTTTGGAGCATGCTGGGGAATTTCCCATTCCCTTCATTATGGTGGAGACGGGCTTAGAGTCTGGAGAATCCCCCAAAGAAATAGCGCGCCTGTGGAACTATCTCATATACATTAACTGACAATTAATGGCGAACTTGAGTCAAAGCTGCCATTCCCCGTAAATCGTCTGGTGAGATGCAGGTGGCTCCTTCGCTTTCATTTTAACCCTCTTAGTGTCACGTTTCTGAGACGTGCGATAAGTGCCTCGCGACTTCTCACCGAAAACGTACCGCTCCACTCAACCTGCCCAACGCTCGCAGCCCCGTCCGCCGCTGAAGGAACCGGCAGCGAGGAAATTTCGCCGCCGAAAATCGGCCCGTGCCGCAAAGAGGGCGAAAGAAAGGGATCCGGAAGAAGACTCACCTGGAAGACGCGAGGAGCCCCGACGAGACTGGCGATGGCAGAGGAGAGCGTGGCGGCGAAGCACCCGGCGTAGATGAGAGGAAACCAAGCCGAAGCCGCCGTC